CAAGAGAAAATTGGAATGTATGTGATGGTCCCTTTTGGAAAACATTTTCCTTGAAATTGAGGAAATAATCAGAATATTGGTATAGAATCTATATAAGGTGTATTATCAGTATTTGAGGAAGAGATAAAAAAATGCTGCGTGAAGAATGTATTATATTTTTGGTAGTGGCTACTAGGCAATTTATCATCCATGTTTGGAAGAGAAAGAATTATTTGTCAATGTCAGTCTAGTTTCAAGAATCTTGCCAAATAACTTTAATAAAGATGAGATGGTGGCAATATATTATAGCTCAGTAGTTCTCAAACTTTTCTTCATCATGGGCCCCCTTTAAATCTCTTTTGTGGCCACAGACCATGGTCACGTACTACCAAGAGTTAGCTCAAGATTTAAAGCACCAGACCGCATCAAATATTCATGGACTCTCTGTGATGACATCTGCCCCCCCCCCCCAGGGGTCCTGAACCACAGGTTGAGAACCACTGCTGTAGTGTATTTTCTAACAGTTTATTATACCTTTATTAAATATGAATAAGGTAGAATCAATATATATTCTTCCATGATACTTAGAACAATTACCCAGTGGAACAACCTGCCTCCAGAAGAGGTGAATGCTCCAACACTGGAAGTTTCACCTCCAGAAGCGGTGAAGGCTCCAACACTGGACAGCCATTTGTCTGAAATGGTATAGGGTTCCTGCCTGAGCAGGGAGTTGGACTAGATGAACTCCAAGGTCTCTTCCAACTTTATTTTATGTATATATGCAGGTCTTGGCATATTTGTTTCATCACCAAGATACTCTCAATCTAGCGCGTTCACCAGGAAAGTTTAAAGTAAAAATACTTTAATTAAAGTATTTTACTATATTAAAAGGTTGTCAAGCTTTCGTTGGGAAAACTCCCCAACATCTTCAGGGCTGAGAGATCGTTTCTATGCCCGGGAGTCGCATTTTCACCATCATTATATATATATATATAACATGTAAGTTTTGCAACTCTTTTCTTTATTCTGTTGAATTTGTATGTCAGGGTGCTTCTATATCTATTTGCCTAAAATGTTTTAGGGCAAATTAATTTTATCAGAAATCAATAGTTGTGCCCCATTTTTAAAAACCCAAAGCAGTGTCTGATTCTCTGAAATTAACTGAGTTTATACCATGGAGAATGATGTGACTTGGAAAATGAGCTTCAAGGTCATTTGGAGGAATGGTGTCCATATGCATATATATATTGTCAGTCTCAGTAGAACAGACCTGACGTTGTTTGATTTTAATATGTCATTGTTGTTAGAAATAAAACAAAAATAATATTGAGCTTATAGCATATGTTTGGAGGAGTCTTTTGCTTGTTTCCCCACTTCTCCTTCTGTTTTGATTAGAAATGCTCATTTATTTAAGATAAAATGTCCAGGACAAATCTTGATGACATTAAAGCAATGACAGGGGGATAATAATGCATTTGTTCAAATGCTATGATTATGTATATGCTTTACAACATCTCATGAAAGGACTTAGGTCACGGTACCTGTGACATTATTTATGCATATGTCAAATTAAATCCAAATCAAGCCAAACCCTTATCGTTGCTATAGGTCAAGCAAATGAATGCAGATAAAATAAAGGTGAAAAAACTCTTCAGCTAGAAATTAATTAAACATTTCAGATGGAAGATAAATATATGTAAGAGAACAATGTGCACATTGATGTTTCCAAAATGATTCTTGAAGGGTTTTGCTCTCGGAACCCCTTCCTACTTTTAAAAATTATGATGTTCCCCAAAAGGGTTGTGGTCGTATGAATTACATACAGCATACTTTGCTATTTACTACATTAAAAAGAAAAATCGATGCATTTATAGAATATTTATTTATTGAATCCATTCAATATTAGCATAAACAGAACATTTTCCATGAAAAAAAATGATATTTTAAAAAAAATGAGAAGGGGGTGACTTAAATTTTTGCCAGTATTTTCAATAACTGTCAAATAATTTTGATTTCTGTGATCTTGGGGGAGTCCCAGTGATCTTTGAACCACAGTTTTTATGAAACTGTGATGTAGGGGTATTTTTTTTTTTTTTGTAACATCTCAAGAAAATGATTAAAGATAAGTGCATCCATTCTAGCCAGAGGGAAGGAATGAATGAAAATTCAGGACTTTAATAGAGGAGAAATAGGAGCTATTCCATATTCATTGGAAAAGATTGGGAATCAGACCTAGATTGATCTGAAGATCAGTATCAATTGTGAGTTCTTTTTAAAAATCAGCAATAGAAAATAATAATCACATTGACTCAGACTCAACAAACAGAAAGAACTGGAAACTCAGACAATTGATTGGGTTTTTGTATCTTCCTTCAGTGGTTGTGGGATGGGAGAAACTTCTATTTTACAAAAGGAAAACTTATAAATGTAAGGAAGGGAGAAAGGAAGGGTATATAATAAATGCCTTAAACAAGGGCCAAAATTAATCTTGATGAAACTATTGTGTGGCTTAACTATTTTCTATTAGCGCTTTATCTCCCCTAAATCCAATTTCACTATATTCTGATGTCTCTTGTTTTCTATATCCATATGTAGCTTATTGCTGACTTCTCTGTTTTTGGGGTCTTAGTCCTTCTGTATGTGTATGTGTATATGTATGTGTATGTGTCTGTCTGTCTTTATATTTGTGTGTCGGTGTTTATTGACTATGTGTTCTATGTTATAAAGGACAGTCCTCTATTTTAGAAAGCTGTCTTTTAGATTTATTTAACTAAATGTTAATTTCTGGGTTCTGCTCTTGAATTTCTCTTCGTAAACCAAAGTTACAAACATTGACAATTACTTTTTTTAATCCTGCCCAACTTCTTTCAGATTTGCCCCCTTTTCAGGTTTGTCCTTTAGTTTTTGCCAAGAAAAGGTCACTGTATGTATATCTCAATTGCCACACTCAATAGAGCCTTACTCTTCTTTCTTTCTCTTTCTTTCTTTCTTTCTTTCTTTCTTTCTTTCTTTCTTTCTTTCTTTCTTTCTTTCTTCCTTCCTTCCTTCCTTCCTTCCTTCCTTTCTTTCTTTTTTTCCTGCTTTCTACATATATTCTATCCAAGTCTTTCATTTTGCTTTGCCTTTTCCCTCCCTCCCTTTCCTTCCTTCCTTTTTCTTTTCTTTTCTTTTCTTTCTGTTTCTGCTTTCTACATCTGTTCTGTCCAAATCTTTCTTTTTTTGCTTTGCCTTTTCTGCTGGCTTCCTCACCTCTCTCTCTCTCCTCCCCCCTCCAAATCCTGGCTCCCTCTGAGGAAAGCGTCCCCATTAAGAAGGTTCGTTTTCCTCCTGGGGTGACAGCTGGTCAGAATGTCAACCTGCCATTTGAAGACCCAGTTTGTACTGTATCTGCTCTAACACAGAGGCTGAGTGTGTTTTACACATCTTTTCCAAGTGCCCCTGAACCTGAACTGATGCTCAGAGCTAACATCCCTGCTCTTCAGCTTGATCAACTCCACACACGATGAGAAGACTGAGGTATTTTTTCCTAAGGGGTTGATCAATATCTGGGCATGGAGAAATCTTTATTCATAGCCTTAGCTAGTCAAAACTATTTTTGTGCCTTCCATGAAGTTTAAACTTGGTAGGGTTCCTTCCTTTTACATAGGTATGCACCGTTACACAGCAAGTGTTCATGCGTGCTGTCTTTTTTAAAATCCTGTCAGTTGGTCTTGGACTGGGAGGAAATGAACAAACGAGTAAACTTTTCCCTCATGCAACTCTGTGATAAGGAAAAAAAACACCCCTCCCTCCTCAGTTTCCTCAGCTGCTGCCTCTTTTCTGGTTGAGTCTTCAAATTAGAGCAGTTTATATTTTAGTTCTGCTGCTTTATTTGAATCCTGGGCTTTGGCTCTACTTATTTATTCAGTCTCTTCCTCACAAGGTCTGTAATGGCACTGCTCTCAGGCAGCCATCTTGCCTTCCTCTTTCTCTCCTCTTGCCTAGCATTCCCATTTGTCATTTGGGCAGCTGTCCTTGGATGGACAGGTCTCGTTTGATGGGCAGGTGTCCTTTGATGGGCATGTATTGTTTGAGGGCAGTGGCTGTTTGATAGGATATGCCATTTGATAGGCAGTGGCTGTTTGATGGGAAGCACTTCTTTGATGGGTAGGTGCCATTTAATGGGCAGGTGCTGTTTGACGGGCAGCAATTCTTTGATGGGCAAGTGCCATTTGATGGGCAGTGGATGATGATAGGCATAAGGTATTTGATCAGCTGTTTGATGGGTAGCATTTCATTGATGGGCAGGCACCATTTGATGGGCATATTTTGTTTTATGGGCAGCAGCTGTTTGATAGCCATAAGCCATTTTATCAGCAGTGGCTGTTGGATGGGCAAATGATCACATGATCTGTTGATGCAATCTAGGACTGACTTTTTGAGGGGGGCAACTGCAGCACACTGCTGGAACATATTTAAGTGGCTATCCCCTCAGACTCCTAGATCTGTCTCACAGTTACTGCTCTTAAGCCAGGTACCCCTTATTCTATATTGTAAAACTTTATTTTTCTCACCACTGAATTGCATTTTGATGGATAAAGGTCAGTGTTCAAGTCTGTCAAGATCCTTCTAGATCTTGAGCCTATCTTCTAAAGCAGGGGTATCAAACTGCCAACCCACAGGCCGGATTCGTCATGCCAAAACTGCACCCACCCCAGCTCTGACAATGGGGGGAAAGTTGTGATACACATCACGTGATGTGGCGAGCTTGACACTCCTGTTCTAAAGTGTTAGCTATTACCCCCAGCTTGGAGTTGACTGCAAATTCGATATGTTCCTTAGTTCTCATTGCTGGTAAAATAAATAGATTTTTCTTTGTGTATGAATCAGGTTTGAGGAATTCCTCTTAGATCAAAGAGGTATGGCAACAGAGGGAATAATATTTTAGCACTTCATAAGGATTTGAAGACTAGTTTGGGAAGTTGTTTTTTTTTTTAAAAAAAAAACAACCAATAGCTTAAAATAGCTTTGTGATATATGTTTATTCCTATAGATTGATCACAATTAAGGGAAAGTACCCTCAAATCAACAGAAAGAAAGATAATTGCTGGAGCTCTTCTCAGGAGAAAGTTGTAATTTCACATTGATACTTGATTAAGAAGAAATTATGAAGTGTGGAAAGGGGAGGCAGCTCTGGTTTTATTCCCAGCAAATGCAGTTGGTGGATCTAGAAGAAACGAGTGAAAATGAAATATCTGCTTAAAAGAGTATGCCACTGACTCTCATGCATCCCTTATATCAAGGTAGCAAATACTTTAATATTTTTGCCTTTACCCTCCCATTACTGTCAATGTCAGTAATACAGAATAATATTTGTATCTGAAAGTGACTTATCTTAAAGTCCTCTTTAGGCACCAGAGTCCATTTTTCCATAGAAATGCTTTGCTTTACATTGCCTGGAAAAGTGAAAGCAGATAAGCAATTCGGCAAGTGTTAACAACTGGAACCCTAACCCTAACCCTGGGCCATACTGCAGAAAGTTATGGTGTAGGGAAGGTGAATAATTGCCATTGTTGGAACATTTTATTCTCCCATCCATTTTCCAACATAGGTGCAAACAGCTCTGTTTAGGAATGATTGCTATATATAAACCTATTGGGATAAATCATTAATGTCCTGCTTCTGAAAGACTGATCTTTAAAACAGTGATCAGGACCTCAACTGACATCTTGGCGTCAACAGATTTTCCCCGATACCAGGATTCAGTATTGTAATATGGTGGAGACATGTGTAGCAAAAGCTACACCATCAGTGACAAAAATAATCTCCATATTATCATCGGGCCATTGTTGCAGTGAAGTAAACTCTATCTGCATTTCCCCTTCTTGGCAAAGCTAGGGTTGGATTAATCTAGCAGACCTATAGGTTAAACCCGTGGTGGCGAACCTATGGCACACGTGTCACAGGTGGCACACAGAGCCCTCTCTTTGGGCAGGTGTGCCATTGCCCCAGTCCTAGGGCTTCAGTTGGGTTTTATAAAACCTTTTTGCTTTAGGCCTCCACCGCTGTGTGCAAAAAAAAAAAAAGTTTCAATCAATCAATCAATTTCAACTTCTTGCAGGAAAAAAAAGATCTCTCAAAGTTGGAATTGATTGATTGAACTTTTTAGTCCCACCCAGTCTGCCATTACCACCACAGCCACGCCCACCCAATGGGTCATGCCCACTCAATGAGCCATGCCCACCTGGCACCCGTTGATACATAAGTGGGTTTTGGGTTGCAGTTTGGGCACTCAGTCTCTAAAAGATTCGCCATCATTGAGTTAAACAGTGATGAACATGAGCTGAATGTGGAAAAACAAGGACATCAGTCTTGCAACAAAATGTAGTTTAGTCTTCTCTACTGTGTTTCCCATAGCTAATTAGGGTTGTGAAAGTTGGACCTGAAAAAAGAAAGACAGAAAGAAAATTGACTTATTTTTATGCTTTGGTGCTAGAGAAGACTCCTCCACATGGGTCGGACAGCAAAGATGATTTAAAAAAGCAAGTACTGGAGAGCATAATACTAGATATGTCACAGGCAAAGCTAACCCCTGTTTCTGAAAGACTGATTTTAAAGGCAGTCATCAGGAGCTCAAATGAGATCTTGAAATCAACAGATTTTCATCAGTATCAGGAATTGGTCTTAATGTTTTGACAAATGCAAGTTCATCAGAGAACAAGAAAATCAAATTTATGGAATGCACCTGACTCCTGGGAGGAGGAGGACTATAGATACAATCAGAGGGAAGAATAGAATAGAATAGAGCTGGAAGGGACATTGGAGGTCTTCTAGTCCAGCCCCCTGAACTATACCATCTCAGACAAGTGACTGTCTAGCCCAGGGGTTCTCAACCTTGGCAACTTTAAAACTTGTGGACTTCAACTGGCTGAGGAATTCTGGGAATTGAAATCCACAAATCTTAAAGTTGCCAAGGTTGAGAACCCCTGGGCTAGCCTCTTTTTAAAAATCTCCAGAGATGGAGCACCCATGATTTCTGGGGGCAAGCTATTCCACTGGTTAATTGTCCTCATTGTCAGGAAGTTTCTCCTTAATTCCAGGTTGCTTCTCTCTTTGATCTCTCTTTGAAACAGCACCATAATTTTGAAACAATGCCAAAATACTAGAATAGAGCATTGGTTGAGAACTCTGTGCATTCACCTATTCAGATATTTCTTTTTGTGTTTCTTCTGAAAGACTGATCCTAAAGGCAGTTTTTAGCAGCAAAAATAAGGTCTTGGAATCAACAGACTTTCCCCAATATTAGGGATTGATATTGATGTTCTGACAAATGCAAGATGCCAAAAAGAAGAATATCCAATCTAAGCTGAAATGTCTGATTTCTCTACTGAGTGGAAGCATCTCCCTTCATCTGGTAATTCCACCACATCTACATTAGCAAAGTTGTTGAGTGTAGGCATGCATTAAGCATCAAGAGATATTAACCAATAAACAATATCAAATAATTTTCTCTAAATGGCTTATTGATAGGTGGCTACAGGAAAGAAGTCTCTGATGTTATGGGAAGAGATGTAACAAAGGCCATTGATGATTTAAAACTTCATACTATTATCAATGTGATGTACACAGTTACAGTGATGTAAACTGTGCCTACATTTCTTTTCATTTGGGCAAAGCTAGAGTTGGATGAATCTAATAGATACAGTATGTCATCATAGTTTATAGATGATGCTAAGATACTACAGTGTGGCAGACAATAGTCAAGGTGTCTTTGTGTTCACATTACTATATTTCTCTTATGCCCTGCTTCTGAAAGACTGATCCTCAAGTAATTCATCAGGAGCTCAACTGAGATCTTATCATCAACATATTTTTTCCCAGTACCAGGAATTAGTCTTGTTGTGCTGTTAAATGCAAGATGGTAAAGAATAAGAAAATCCAATCTAATGAAACTTACCTGGTTGCTAGGAGGAGGACCATAGGATCGATCAGAAGAGACAGCCAACTAATAAATAAGTAAATATATGAATAAGTATAATCCCTTCACATTATTTTAAACAATAATATTCATTATCTGACACAACCAAGCAGAACCATTCATGGATAAGCCCAAGTAGATGTTTTATTGTTGATCACCATAGTACAAGAATCTCTTCAGATTTTCTGTCTTCCCTTCTGAAATAGCATTTATACACATAGGTGTTTGATATCAGACATTTCCTCCCCCAAACAGTTTCTGAGCCAGAACTTTTCCTAGTGTCCGCCCTCCCCTTCAGCTGGAGGTTCCACCATATCCTTAGAAGCAAAGTTGTTGAGTCTAGGCATGTATTAAGGATCAAGAAATATTACTGAGTAACAACATCAAGTAAACATTTTATCTAAACATGTTCTCACAAAGTGGCACCGAGAAGTCTTTTACGTGATGGAGAGACATGTAACAAATGCTATCCTCATTTGTTACATAAAATATCTTCATAGTATCATCAAGCAATTTTTGCAGTGATGTAACTTGTGCCCACATTTCCCTCCACTGGCAAAGCTATCTTTGGATGATTTTAGTAGATATTATAAGTCACTATAGTTTAAAAATGATGACAAGATATCAGACTAGGGAAGTAGTCAATGTCTGTATATATTGAGACATGTCTTTGCCCATTCTTCTAATCTTCAAGGCTGTCATCAGGAGGTCAACTGATACCTTGAAATCAACAGATTATTTTCAACATTAGGTTTAATCTTGATTTGCTGTCCAAAGAAAGATACCAGGAAACAAGAAAATCTGGTGGAACACACTTGTCTCCTGGCAGAAGTACCATTGTGAAAATCTGAGGGACCAGCAACCTCATAATGAAGCAAATATATTCCATGAATATCCCTTCAAATTATTTTAAAAATTAAACCTCAATGACTGACACAACCAAAGAGAATCACTTGTGGATAGATTCAGTAGATATTTAATTGTTGATCACCGATGTTACAAGAAACTTGCCAGAGTTTCTGCCTTCCCTTGGGAAATGACAGATATAGGCCTAGGGGTCTCAACTCAAATGTTTCCTCCCCAGAACATATTCTAAGCTAGGATGTCTCTTTGCTCCACCTAGTGGAAGAATCTCCATTTCAGCTGGCGATTCCACCACCACTTTAATAGAAGAAAAGTTGTGTGTCTAGGCATACATTAAACATGCAGATATATTTCAGAGTGAACAGTAGCAAATAAATGTTTTCTCTAAACCAGAGGCCCCCAACCTTTCCAGTTTGGCAGTCCAGAGGGAAAGGGAGGAGCAGGCAAATTTGTACATGCACAAACACAGCTGTGTGCACCATGGCAGCGTTAGCACCTGCACACCTGCACAAATGGAGCTGTGCACACTCCTGGCAGTGCTAGTGCCTGTGCACATGCACGAATGGGCCGCTAGAGCCCACACAATGCTGGCAGTGGCATTAGCATCCCTGCGCATGTGCAAATGGGGCTGCTAGTGCCCTGTGCATTTGCAAACAGGGATGCTAGCACCTGCACTCATGGGCAAACAGGGACGCTGGCGCAAGTGGTGGGGGAGCGTGTGCATGTGTGTGCACTCACCAGCCATTTCTGCAATCCGGTGGCCAATAGGCCACAGAAAGGTACTGGACCATGGCCCACAGATTGGGGACCCCTGCTCTAAACAGCTTCTCTTGAAGTTTTTTATGTGATGGAGAGGCATGTAACAAATGCTATTTCCATTAGTGACATAATATATCTCCATAGTATCAGCAAATCATAGAATCAGCAAATCATATAATGAAATATATACATTGCAAAACAGAAGGTTTCTATAAAATGGTACATGATAGGCTAAATTACAGATTATGTTCATGATTAGCAGCCAAAAATCTATAAGACACATACAAAAGTGTTCAGGAAGAAAAATCTTTGTTGTCTAATGTAGTTGAAGCATATGAGTTGAACTGGAAAGACTCATGTTGAGCTAGGGAACGTGTTCCAATTTACCACCTGACTCTAGTGCTTATTTAGTAATTTGGGGCCAATCCTTCTCCCTCAGGCCTACTTATCTTATGATGTTATGGAGATTAAATTAGGGGATACCCACAGTTAAGCAGCCTTGAATTGCCAGACAAATGTTGTGAGGATTATACCAATATTAATAACAATATATTCCTAAACATTAGTTCCTGCAGAACATTATACATCCCTAGGGATTCAGGTGTTATTTCAGTCCCACAAAAGTACAAGGAAATATTAATATTAAGGTTAATAGAACCAACTTTCCCACCTTCAAATGAATGAAGATCTTCATGAGATCTTCACACATTTTCATACTCACTGTGCCACTGTAGGCAGTTTTAGGTGCAATTAGTCCAGTTTTAGTAGTGGTGGGAGATATCAAAGAATCTGCAGTAGGAGTTGTAGATTTCTGGGTATGATTGGATTAGGTTTAGCTTTCTGCAAAATGAATCAATCAGAATCCCCCACCCAAATAAAGTCATTCACATCATTTGTTTCCCACAATTCTGATTAAAAGACACCACCAATCATACCAAAGCCCATGGACGTATCTCCTTCCATAGTTGTGCTACAGAGAAAAGTGACATGAGTTTTCCTCTGATCCAGGACATGTCTCTTTCTGCCATCCTACTGTGGTGGATACAGTTCCTATCAGCTTTACATCCATGGGCTGCTTGGAATTGGGATACCAAAGATCTAAAGGTACAGCTGACTTCCACAGCATATTGTAAGAGTTTGGATTATTCCCAAATGGCATACATATAACTTGGAATCATCTAGGCTCTTATAAACAAAAAAACCCCACTAAGTGGGTTTTTTTATCACAGGTCTAATTATGAAGCACTTGAATTCATTTCATCACAGAGTGAGTCATCTACAAGTGTTCAGTTTTTGGCTGTTGATAGAGACAAATATGGATCTCCACCTTCTCTAGCTACACTCCACCAAACAGACACTTCCAACATCACTAAATTGACGGGAAAGGCTCTCGTGAGTGGTTAGCTGTGTTTGGCTAAACAAGATCCAGGATGACTGTGGTTGTAGAGCCCACAGAAAATAATAGTTGTGATCTGCTAAATAAGTAAGACAAAATGGTTCAAATTGCTAGGTAAGAGGGGAGCTAAATAATTCAAATAAATGTAAATTTCTATAACTAGGATCTTCCTTGGGACATAAAGACTGCATTCGGTCACCCTGTCTGTGAGTGCTCATAGTGAGGTGGTTAAAGTGTTGGATGATGATCAGGGACACCACTCTGTCCACTTTTGGCATAGCAACTTTCTAAGTGACTTTGGGCCTGTTATTCTTTCTCAGTTACAAATGAGCGATTGCAATTTCTACAGTTCCATGCCTTAGGTTTAATTCTTGGGTCAAGCTCCTAATCGGAGGCAGTAGGATTCTTGATTCTTCCTGGAGGCAAAGGGTTAATGCTTATTCTCTGCCTTTCCTGTTTTACCACTCTGCTTTTTCCTGTTTTCAATGGCAAAATGCAATGCATAACATGCTGCTAAAATGATGGCAATTGCCCTCTGCCATCACAACTTTTTCTGTGATCATAATATGTCCGTCTACAATTTATGTTATAATAAAGGTGCAGAATTTTTAATCGCAATAGTAATTGCACAACCAGACGGATTATCTTCTAGAAATCCCCAAGGAGAAGGAAAGGGAAAAGGTCTGGAATTCTTCCCCCAATATTTCCTACAAGAATGGGTAAACATATGGGCCCTGCATCTAAAATTGCCACTATTTGTTGAAAATGATTTTAAGAGTTGTGGAGGTGGGGTGAGTGTCTATTGGAGGTTTCTAATTTGTTCTGTTTATTATGAAGATAGCATTCTTTTTCTATGTGCTTTTTTTTGTTCATTGATGTCAATTGGGAACCGAAACCCCAAAACATGGAAAAGGAATGTCTATGGAGATTCTCAGTCATCCAGGTCATAGTTAGCCCAAAGATGCTCTTTTATGAGGCAACCGGACTGTCCTCTTTCTTCCTCAAAGATGTTTCACTTTTCATCCAAGAAACTGAACAGGAAGGTCCAGTTGCCTTGTGAAAGAGCACCTTTGTGATGGAAAAGAAATCTCTTTATGAAAAAAAATTGGATGCATCGGATCATTTCAAATATTGAAGAGTATTTTTAAAAGAGGATTCTTTTAAGTGCAGAGTCTGGGCAAGTGAAAGGATCTGCATTCCATGATTTATGTAAAGAAACCAGACATGTTTCAAATATACAAGTTATCAGCTTTAGGATAAAATATCATTTTATAAGGCTTATACCAGTTACAGAGAAAATGCAGAAAAAAAATGATGGAGCAGAATCAAATGATAAAGATTTTCCTGGACTGTTCCCATTAGGATTTATGGAGTATAGTAGAAATTGTTGATATTTTTGTTGCTTTAATATTAACCATGAAATTGGCTTCCTGTAGCCAGGACTATATACCATTCATCTTATGATGGAATATGCACTTTCAGGAGCAGAGGGGGGAGTTTTGGCAAAACAGGTTTCTCAAAGAGAGAGAGAGATCTGAATTAAGAGATTCCTGAGCTGAAGGGAAATCTCTCAGGATAAAATCTAATAGGTTAGAAAGTTAGGCAAAATTCTGTCCATTAGATATATCAAATAAAGGATTGAGTTCAACTGGAGTTTGATGTGTTGTCTCTAGGCTTGGACTTGGCACATCCTGGCATATCATACTGGAAGGTTAGAAAAACATTTCACCAGCTCTTATTGTAATTTCCTAGTTAGATTTTGATTTTACTCGGGAATAGAACACTAGTGAGTGCTTTTATTAACTTGCCTTTTTGCTTAGAAACTCATGACAAACGTATTGTTCTGCTAGATCCTCAAATGTTAACATCATCTATTTTGCAGAGAAATCCTGCATAAAATTTAAAAGCAGGTAGAATATGGATTCTGATCTCATGATCGTACCAACAGAATTTTGCATTTTTAATCCATTTTTTTCACTGTATCACTTGCACCACAGTAGTTGACATTTAGCTCATTCATCTCTCGCCCAAATCATTAAATCAATAAAATAATTGTCTATACTTACTGACATGTTTTTCAGTCAACCACCCTATGAGGGGGAAAAACAGAATATTCAAAGGTATTTCCAAACCATTTTATTTTACTCAATCACAATTGCCTTGCTATATCCAGATTAAGGAGCTACATCCTGATCTGTCCACTGAAATCCCCAGACCTGCTTCTTTCAAAGAAAGAAAGACAATTTATATCCAGTTCAATCTCTGGGAAAGGAGAATTTTCACCTTCTCCACAAATCTCTAATTTCCCTTGCAATTTACTTCTCCTACCATTTTCTCCTCAGAATCCAGATGTGTGTGCTTGGCAATTCCCACCTGCCAGCAATCCACCAAATAAAATAGCCCACATTGCTGAATTTTCCCAAAATAACTAAAATAAAGATATATTTTGATCCACCTGGATGAGATTTTGCAAGATCTGGGGAGACACACCCTGCCTTTGTGACATCACCCATAGCTATAAAATGAGTTCACTGCTCTATGTGGGACTTCCTACAAAAGATATTCAGGTGGTTATTCTATATTTCTGTGTTCTGCGACTTTAGGTGGCTGGTTAAAAGAATGGATATTTGCAGGTGAGCTTTTAAAAAGTTAGGATGACACCTGTAGAACCAGCCAAGATTAAACCAACAAAATATTCCATATCACATCGATGAAGATCCTCAGGCTTTACCTACTTAAATGTTGTTATGAACTTAGCCAGTGAAACATTCTTCTAACATATGATTATACTCATTATAAGCTCACTTAAAGCGCAAGAAATAAATACAAAGGAAAACATGTAACATTGATTATGCATATCTGTTCTATAAAAATAGCAAAAAGCTATTACATATGCTTCAATATCAGACATGGAAAATGTTAGACACACAGGCTACTGTACGTTTATGCTAGTTTCCTTAAAATTTAAAATCTGCAATATTCAGAAGTTAATACAATGTGTGACCCTGATTAATTTTTGTTGCAAGCAATAAAACTCAAGTTTGTTATTAAGAGTGTGCAATAAAGCTTCTGGTCAGAATAGAATAATTGATTTAATTCTCATCATCAATTTAATTGAATACTTCAAATAACTCTGAAAAATTCTGGTATCCAGTGGGATTGTCCAATTTAATTCAGAAGATAATTCCATTTAGGTTCTGAACTGGTTCTTCTTAGTGAAGCTTTACATAACCATATTTGTTATATCTAAAGTTTCAGTAGGACTCAAGAGTTATCAGTGTAGTTCTGGGATTAACCCACAGGGTTTCCCCATCATCCTGCAAATTACTTTATCTAAATTGCAGAGTTCATCTCACCTGGACATTTGTGCAGAGTACAGAAATCAACAAAACAGCACCCATCAAAGAGAGTTTCATTTTAGTCAGTTCAGGGTATGAAAGTACTGTATCCTGAGTAGGAATGGTAGTTCCTTATTGATGTTTGTGTACAAGCCAGACTGCCCAAACTGAAAGCAGCAATTGAGGCTGCCTTCTAATTACCTTATCTGTTGAGAAAAGTCAGAAGGATTCATTAATCACAAGAAATGATGTAGTGCCAAATAATGAATTCTTTCCTAAGTACCTATCAGAACTGAGCCAAACATGAAGCTTTTCTTCATTTTAGCACGATTTTTACAATAATAAGCCTGATTTGCAAGAACGTATTTATGAAATGTCACCATCTCATGAACCAAGTGGAGAGTTTCTGATAGGTGACCTGTAGTTTAAAACTTTGTTAATGACTTTGTCCCATCATTCAATTATCTTTTAAAATTATTTCATGCATGTATTTACTTATTTATATCCAATATTTTTATAAATAACTCAAAGCATCAGGCATACTGGTACTTCTTCTTCTTCCTCTTTTTCCTCCACAACGCTGTGAGGTGAGTTGGGCAGAGAGATGATAGCAGGAGAATCTGGATAGCAGAAAATACCTGCTTACTCCACATAATAATAGTAATAATAATAATAATAATAATAATAATAATAATAATAATAATAATAATAGACTTGAAAGGTAGACAAAATGCCAAATCCAGTCTGAACATTTGGCTGACTGTGTGATGATCCATAATAATAATAATAATAATAGTAATAATAATAATAATAATAATAATAGCCCCCAGTGAGGCACTACCTTGACGTGGTTGTGGGGCTTGTGTACTCTGAGGAAGATGAGAGCTATGCCAGAGGTTCAACCATACTGGACAGGTCTCATCAGAGGAGTCAGACAAAGAGTGTCTCTCCCATACAAAATATGGTGAGACGTAAATTTCAGAATGCCATACCGGCTCGGACGTCGCCCGGGTTAACAAGGTCCGCGCTAGATATTGGAGTTCCTGGATATCTGGTGAAAAATGGGTTACAGGACTCAGGACTGTTGGCTGAGCAACCAGGGCCAGCAGCTGCAGAACTACTGGAAGAAAAGGTGTTTACCCGTCGCAGATACACAGTGATGGAAAACAAAGAAATAATGATCTGTTACTACAGATCAAGTCCAACAAGACGAGGATATCTAAAACGAATGCACCAGTTCTGGAAAGAACAACATCCAGAATCAGAAATAACAGAACAGAGACTAGCAGATCAACGCCGATTTATAACACGAAATAAAGTATTCACAGAAACAGAATTGGACGAACTGCAAAGGTTTACCCAGGGCAAAGAAATCAAAGCCTTACAGAAGTAATTCAGAATGTAGAGGCAAACCAGGGGGAGTTGGCAGTGAAGGAATCCAGCAGAGATATACAACTGTTCTCATTTGGAAACCAGGCACCTCTTCCTCAGGAAGAACAAAACCCTCTAACTAAAGAAATAAAAGAATTGAAACAAAGAATAACTGAGCATCTAGAACAGCACAAAAACAACAGAATAAGGCTGCCTGCATTGAAGCTTGTTCCAAAGAAACAGCTAGCACAAGCATTAAAAGATGCAAATACTGCAATAGCAAGTATAAGCACCAATTCACTGCAAGAAACAAACCAACTAATGTACAGCACAGCTGCAGTTATAACTGAATACCTGGGATGCAAAATCAACAAAGAAGAAAAACAAACAAACAGTGCACCAGAAAAATGGAAGGTTAGACTAGAAAATAAGATCAGCAAGTTAAGATCACATGCAAGCAAGCTAGAACAGATGAAAGAAAAGAAGCTGAAGAACAAGAAGACCAAAGAATACCTAATCAAGAAATACCACTTAGAAACAAGGAAGATCAAGGAAGCACTGGAAATAATAAAGCAACAAATAACAGCTATAGCCAGGAAAATCAGTAGATATGAAGCTCGAATTGCAAACTATAGGCAGAACCTCCAATTTCAATCCAATCAGAAACGTTTCTACCAATCCATCAATGGAGAAACTGCAAGGAATCAGTCAGTACCTGACAAGGAAGAAACAGTGCAGTTCTGGAAGCAGATATGGGATAACCCAAAGAAATACAACAAGGATGCGGCTTGGTTAAAAGAGGTGGATGCAAATAAAACAGAAGTTGAAATGAAAGAACTAGTAATAACAACAAAAATGGTAGAAAAAAGAGCAAAGAAAATCAAAAATTGGTCAGCACCAGGTGAAGATGAACTGCATGGGTTTTGGTTGAAACATCTAACTGTTATACACCCACTCATTGCCAAGCAGTTCAACAATATACTACAAGGAGGAGAAATTGAAAAGTGGCTAACAACTGGGAAAACCTACCTAATAATGAAAAATCCAGCAAAAGGGGCAACACCAGGTAACTACAGGCCAATTACCTGCTTACCAACAACTTTCAAATTACTAACTGGTGTGGTAGCTGATGCAGTACAACAGCATCTAGTTGAAAACAATCTCTTTCCACCTGAGCAGAAAGGAAACCGCCCCAATAGCAGAGGAACAAAAGATCAACTCCTAATAGACAAAATGATCTTGGAAAACTGCAAGAGAAGGAAGACCAACCTGAATGTTGCATGGATTGACTACAAAAAGGCATTTGACTCTCTGCCACATGATTGGATAATCAAGTGCCTAGAAATAACAGGAGTCAGTAGAAACATCAGAAAATTTGTGCAAAGATCGATGGCACAATGGAAGACACAGTTGCAGATCAATGGTGAGAAGCTGGGAGAGGTTAATATCAAGAGAGGGATATTTCAAGGAGATTCATTATCACCATTACTATTTGTTATTGCACTGTTTCCTCTGTCAACAATACTGAATAACTCAGGACATGGCTATCAAACATCAAAAACATCTGCTAGACTATCCCACCTCCTTTACATGGATGATCTGAAGCTGTATGGAAAAACATCATCTGAAATAGAATCGCTGCTCAACACTGTCCGTATATATAGCCAAGATATTGTAATGGAGTTTGGCTTGGACAAATGTGCCACACTTACTATCAAACAAGGAAAAATAGTGAAAACTGAAGGAATCAAGATGCCCCACGAAAATAACATTAAGAGTCTGGATGAGGAAGAGTACTACAAATACTTGGGTATCCTTCAAGCTGACAACATCAAGCACACTGAAGTCAAGAAAAAGATTAGAGGTGAATACATCAAGAGAGTGAAGAAGATCTTAAAGTCCAAACTCAATGGAGGAAATACCATAAAGGCAATCAACACCTGGGCAATCCCAGTCATTAGGTACACAGCTGGAATAGTGGACTGGACTCAAGCAGAACTAAAAGCAATGGATAGGCAGACCAGAAAAATAATGACAATGAATCATGCCCTTCATCCACGCAGTGACATTGATAGACTTTATCTACCAAGGCAAATAGGTGGGCGTGGAATGCTACAAGTACATCAGATGGTTGAAGAAGAAAAAATGGCTTTGGAAGAATATCTGAAGAACAATGATGAAGATGCACTGAAATTAGTATATCAGGAAGGCTTACTAACTACTGGAGAGACCAAACTGGCCTACAAGAAAGACCAAATGAAGAACAGAATAGAGGCATGGGAAGACAAAGCACTACATGGCCAATACATGAAAAAAATAGCTGGGAAAGCAGATAATAATAAAACCTGGCAATGGCTAAGAGCAGGAAAATTGAAGAAAGAGACCGAGGGACTAATTCTGGCTGCACAAGACCAAGCCTTAAGGACAAATGCATACAAAGTCAAAATTGAGAAGACAGCAACAGACAGTAAGTGCCGCCTATGCAAAGAAGCTGAAGAAACAGTGGACCACTTGGTAAGCTGTTGCAAGAAGATTGCACAGACTGATTACAAGCAGCGGCATGACAAAGTAGCAACAATGGTGCATTGGAAGATCTGCAAAAAATATCATTTGCCTGTAAGCAAAAACTGGTGGGATCATAAAATAGAGAAAGTCATAGAAAATGATAAAATTAAACTGCTCTGGGACTTCAGAATTCAAACAGACAAGCACCTGCAACATAACACCCCAGACTTAACAATTGTCGATAAGAAAGACAAAAAAGTCTGGATAGTGGACGTGGCAGTGCCTGGAGATAGCAGAATAGAAGAGAAAGAACTGGAGAAGATAACAAAATACAAAGACCTACAAATAGAAATAGAAAGACTGTGGCAAAAGCAAGCAAGGGTAGTACCAATAGTAATAGGCTCCTTGGGTGCAATCCCAAAACAACTGGAGCACCACTTGAACACCATTGGCATTGACAAATTCGCTATTAGTCAATTGCAAAAGGCGGCCTTATTAGGAACTGCTTCCATCCTGCGACGATACCTGTAATACCATCAAACATCCACATCTGCCTATCCCAGGTCCTGGGTAAGGACTCGATAGGTAGACAAAATGCCAAATCCAGTCTGAACATCTGGCTGACTGTGCGATGATCCATAATAATAATAGTAATGGATGATCTGAAGCTGTATGGAAAAACAACATCTGAAATAGAATCGCTGCTCAACACTGTCCATATATATAGCCAAGATATTGTTATGGAGTTTGGCTTGGACAAATGTGCCACACTTACTATTAAACAAGGAAAAGTAGTGAAAACTGAAGGAATCAAGATGCCCCACGAAAATAACATTAAGAGTCTGGATGAGGACGATTACTACAAATACTTGGGTATCCTTCAAGCTGACAACATCAAGCACACTGAAGTCAAGAAAAAGATTAGAGGTGAATACATCAAGAGAGTGAAGAAGATCTTAAAGTCCAAACTCAATGGAGGAAATACCATAAAGGCAATCAACACCTGGGCAATTCCAGTCATTAGGTACACAGCTGGAATAGTGGACTGGACTCAAGCAGAACTAAAAGCAATGGATAGGCAGACCAGAAAAATAATGACAATGAATCATGCCCTTCATCCACACAGTGACATTGACAGACTTTATCTACCAAGGCAAATAGGTGGGCGTGGAATGCTACAAGTACATCAGATGGTTGAAGAAGAAAAAATGGCTTTGGAAGAATATCTGAAGAACAATGATGAAGATGCACTGAAATTAGTATATCAGGAAGGCTTACTGA